GTTGAAACCATCACTAATGCATGGATTGCAAAAGAATTGCAAGAATTTTCAATTTATAAGTAAGTTGTAATAAAATACAATTACGAGTATAAAAAAGACTAAGATGATGTGGCATCTGTTATGGTCGCAGTCTTAACTCACCACAACACGACTTGAAATTTAATAAGGCTTTAGAAATGGATTGACCTCGTTGTCGCAACTTTGTCTTGTTGTCAGGGCGACTAGTCCGAAGTCGTCTGCCATGCTAGGTGTCATAATTCTTAGCACCAGACAGTGGACTTGGTACATTCTCAAACGTTTCACCGGCTTGTCTGTTTGACGAGTTCGTAGGTTGGTGCTGAGAATGGCAGCACTCACTGATGTTGCCGGCGAAACGTTTGAGAATGTACCAAGTCCACTGTCTGATGCTGGGAATCATGACAACTACTATGGCGACGAATTCGGACTAGGTGCGTTCTACTAAGTCATCTTGACAACAAGACCAAGTTGCGACAACGAGATCAACCCAACGTTTGAGAATGTATCAAGTCCACTGTCAGATGCTGGGAATCATGACAACTACTATGGCAGACGACTTCGGAACTAGAGTTCTACATAGTCGCCCTGACGACAAGAACAAGTTGCGACAACGACGTCAACCCACTTCTATAATTACGAGTGTTGCAGCACCATAAGCAAAATGGGATAAACATAACTCTTATGTAATTTAGGAATTACGGAGAGCCTCAAAAGCGACTTGTATCATTGCCGACTGCAGTGGCAAACACATGCTGGCATACTCGACAATTTCATTATTAAAATGTGGGTTCTCATAGGCCTGGTTTGTCTTGAGGGTAGAATCTTTCCTGTAATCCAATGATATCCGTAATCTGTGGAGTGGAGTAGCAAACGTTGCCACGATACTCACGACCCGGTATTAAATCTCATTTAGGGTGAGGAGGTCGAAAGAGATAAGCCTCGAGGAAGCAAGAATGAATAATCTTTATGCATATGATCTGTATTTACCCTATTTAGTTTAAGGTGATGAAGAACTGGTAGTTGAATTTTCCCACAATGATATGAGTAGAGCTGATATTTTTCATTGAATTTCACATTGCCTTGAGTTCCAGGTTCGACTGCAGTTTCGACCTCGGCCCATGCGGGAGTGGATCCATGACAGTACAGCGTGTAAGCTCGACACGTTAAACATTAGGCCAAATTGTCACGAGTGCAATTTGGTCACATGGCAGATGTGAATTTCAACGAATGTCAAACATTTTTCATATCACATTCTGTGTTGGGATTGTCGCTGAAGCAAACTTATATTTGCTATGAAAATCGATGACAGTACTTTTTTCGTGATTAAGGTCGAAACTGCAGTCCACTCTGGATGAGAATACCTTTTTGCTTTAGAACCACCTTCAGGTTGACACATTCCATAAAGCATCCTGTCTCCTTTTGTGTGAAATCCGATTCAGATTTCTTTCATCATATTGCTGGCACCATCAGAGCTGGAATACATTCTTACAAAAGTCTCAAGTCCGTCATTTGCAGGAACAAAGCTTAGTCAAGTTTCATCCGAATCGAGAGAGGATGTTTCTTGGACTGTGTCAACTTGAACTTCATATTACAGCCAAAGTGCTGCAGAACAACGGGAATCAGCCAGCATCTTTCAATGAAACCGACCTAACAATTTCCTCATCATGTACTTTCATAAGAACGATTTTCGTGATTACAAATAGATCTGATGTGAGAGATTTTGTATTCACCATATTTCCTTTTACATTATCAAGCACTTGTTGGTAGTCTTCAGTTATTATTGCTTCCTCTACCTCCGCCCCCACAAGGACGGTTTTGCTCAAGTTTAGGTGACTTTTTTGACAGGGATGTGAATAGGCCTTATGAGGCAATTAAGTTTTATCTAGCACCATCTTCCAAAATGTATTCGCACCCAGGCTGGACCGGATTGCAGTTTCAACCTCGCCTCACCTCCCTCCTCCCATAACAATAATCTAACTTTGGTTTTGGTAGTGATGTGTTTTCGTTCGATATGTTACAGCCACGCCCGCAGAAGTGAATTTCACAGCAAGCTAGGCCTTTCATGCATCACATTTTCACAATGGGCTACTCCAAAAAGCAGTAGTGTATTTTCCATCATCGTCGATAACACTACTGATATGTTTAATGAGTAGCATTTTAAACCCTGCCTTCAAAGTGGTTTTCTCCTCCAGGCAGAAGCGAATTTCAACTTCAACCTCGTCTGGGTTTCATCGCCGCCCCTGACGATAGTTAAACCGAGGTATTGCAGCGTATAATTTCGACATTTTACCACAGTAATTAGTGCCTTTCTCTGTATAGCACTTTTCGTAGACACTCAAAAGATCACTGGCCTATTCTGTAGTCGCTAAGTGCTGAGGAGGCAGGAGTAATGTCACTGGTCAGGTTTTCCAGGCAATGGCGTCAGGTCCGCCGAGTGCGATAACGATGAAGATGCTGTGGCCAACTCTGCAAGACGGCTTCTAAAGCCACAGAAAATGAGCAGGGAGTGCGGCCGAACGAGCAGAGTTGGCTACGCAAGTGGAGCACTGCTGACCGCTGCGGTTGGGCAAGAGAGAGCGAAAAAGGAGGGGCCATTCGAGACGAGTCTGAAGGGGAAAACTTTAATTACTCCTCTCGTGTCTTCGGCCAAATGATCCTGAAAACCAGCCTCCACCTCGGCCAACTCCTACACTCGCCGACCCACTCCCCTGTCGGTCTCGGATACCGCCGAGCCTGTAGTTGCTCCATGCCCCTGTATCTGGCCTGGCCAGCGTTGCTTTTATCACTTTCCCACTCGTTGACAAAACTACACTGATGTGTCTGTTGTCTGGCTGGGGGAAATTTGCGATTTCTCTCGCCCTACCTCTGGCTCGGCATCACCTGTGCACACAAACAAACATACATACATACCAACAATTGTCATCCATCTTGCCCAAAACGTCTGTCCAGACCTCCTCCTTAGCCCACCCCGCAGATGCCTGCATCTGTTCTCCTCGTCTCCCCCATGGGAGCCCCGTTGGCTGGCCCAGTCTCGCAGACAGACAAAAATACAGGCACTGACAAGCATACAGCCCCCTTGACCGACCCACCCATAGAGACCCCACCAGCCCAAACGACCCCTTGAACGGGGGCCTGGGCTCCGACAGCTTGGCTGGCTGAAGCCGGCCATTTCATGCCGGGGGTCTCATGTGGACACAGCAGCAGCAGCAGCAGCAGCAGGCACTACAGGCAAAGGCAGGCGGAGTCATCAAGTCGTTCGACGATTGACTCTGTCGCTGGCCCATTAAACAGTGAGTTGAGGGTCAGGCCGAAAATGGCGCATGATTTATGTCTCAGGATTACATGGTACAGGAGAAGAAAGGAGACCGCGGTCTCGGGCCTAAAAGAGGAGCGAGTGAAGCGGCCTCTGGGTTCTTTGCCGTTGGGCTGGCATTGAAAAGAACAACTACGAGCCAGCAGAGACAACGACGAGGGGGAAAGGTGGGGACTTGATCTCTGTGCTTGTAGAGACCCATTTCTCTGAGGGATGAAGGCAAATGAGAGGGCAGTGTCAACTGAAATCATCGGCTACTTTATTTGACTTACGAGTTTATGATTATTTTTTTATAGAAAAAGCCCCGGCTTGCTCAAGCCGCAAGGAGGAACAACAGACATAAACACACATGCCTAACCTACAACAGAGGGGCAAGCGAACGAACGAGCAGACAAGCATACAACCGAAATAGATGGGGAGCGGGAGAATGGGGAAAAGTATGCGTATATAAGGACGTATAAAAATGTAGAGTAGGATAAAAGAAAAAGGAATAGATGGAGGCAATGGCTAGACAGCAAATCGCCTTTGAACTCCAGAATATACCATCTGGACTTAGCAATAACTTAATAATAACAAGTAATATGAGATGTATTCACCCTATTTCGTTTAAGGTGATGAAGAACTGGTAGTAGAATTTTCACACAACGATATGAGTAGAGCTGACGTTTCCGTTGAAGTTCACAAAGCCTTGCTTTCATACATACGAAAAATAAGTAACGCAGTCGATTGGTATAGCAAAAATACGGCACGTTTGCTTCATCGACAATGTCACAAAAGAATGTGATGTGGGAAAAGGCTTGGCTTCCTTGAAATTCACATCTGCCCTGTCACTCAAGGGTACTTGTGGCAATGTGGCCGAGTGGTTAACGTGTCAAGCTCCCATTCTGCACTGTCACGGTTCGACTCCTGCTGGGGGTGTTGATAAGACCGATGCGAGGTCGAAAATGCAGTCCACTTCTGTCTAAATGAGAACAACTTTTGCTCTACTCATATAATTATGGGAAAATTCTACTAGCATCACATCTCATATTACTGATTTACTTGTAGTCTCGAAACTCTACTTTCATACGAAAAATTAATAATAACAATTCACTTCCAATATCGAACTGTGTAATCTGACGCTGGAAACTATCATAAACTCTGGGGCAGAGGACGGATGGCTAGGCAGG